AAGGCGGGGTGGGGGAGGGGGTAGGGCGTTTTTTATGTAAATAATTAAAAGATATGTAATGTTTAGATTATGCCGCCTTGTGATTCTGGATATTCTTCTCTCGTCGGTCAATCTTGTTCTAACATTTATCAACATAAACCAGTTCTTAAAATCAGAGGTAAACACCGGACCAATAAATATACTTTGCTTCTCTGTTAGTTTATTTGTTTGTATCTAATAAACGTCAAAACGGCTGAACCGATCAGGCCCATATTTTGTGTGGAACCTCATATGGAAAGGTTTATAAATTCTCAGAATAATAAAAATTTTCTTAATTTTGGGGAGGTAATATAAAACTTGACATTAAATTGAAAGTTTTAATCTTTTTTATAATTTTAATCCAAAATGTTTCCCTTCAATTTAGCAGGTAAAGTGCGTGGGAGGAATGTGGGGGGGGGGGTTATATACTCCTACTTCTCGCAAATGATAAAAATTATATCATTCAGAGATATTTTTTTTATTTTGCTTTAAAAAAAATACGTTTATAGCTCGAGCATTATTTTTATACAAATTCTGATAAATGGATTTTTATTGGAAACATATTTCTTGCTCACACAAAATATCAGTGCCGGATATTTATTATCAACCATAATTATTCAAACCTTCCTTGCACAAATGAATTATTTTCCAATTTCAGTGAAAACAAATCTACAAAATTTCATAAAGGGGTCTTATTGGTTAGAATTAATATACTAACAGAAAATTTTATTTAATTATTTTGATTTAGATTTATTTTTATAAAGTTTAATCATATGGCAGCGAGTTTATTCTATTGCTGAGGTTTTTTAGTTAAAAGCGTATCGTTACAACAGATTAAAAAATATTGCATAACAAAACTCGGCACTTTTTATATTTTTTTATTATTTTAGTCTACAAGGAGTATTGGCCTGTTCTCACTGTTTCTCCTCTGGTTGCCTGGTATTGTAGCTTCAGGTTAACCTAATCAAAATTATTTTTCAATTTAATTGTTCAGATTTAAAGGGAGTGTGGACAGTATTAATTAGTGTCCTTGAGTGTTAATTATCATCCCCCGTTGGAGTAATTAATGTCTTGAGTGTTAATTATCTTCCCTCCAATAGAGTTATTAGTGTCCTGAGTTGTTAATTATCATCCCTTCGGTGGAGTAATTAGTGTCCTGAGTGTTATTTATCATCCCTTGGTGGAGTAATTAATGTCCTGAGTGTTAATTACTGTCCCTCCGGTGGAGTCATTAGTGTCCTGAGTGTTAATTATCATCCCTCCAATGGAGATATTAGTGTCCCGGGAGTGTTATAATTACCTTTTCTCCGATGGAGTGTATTAGGGCCTTAGTGTTAATTACCATCCCTCCGGTGGAGTGATTAGTGCCCTGAATGTTAATTACCATCCCTCCGGTGGAGTGATTAGTGCCCTGAGTGTTAATTACCTCCCCTCTGGTGGAGTGATTAGTGCCCTGAGTGTTAATTACTATCCCTCCGGTGGAGTCATTAGTGCCCTGAGTGTTAATTACCATCCCTCCGGTGGAGTGATTAGTGCCCTGAGTGTTAATTACCATCCCTCAGGTGGAGTGATTAGTGCCCTGAGTGTTAATTACTATCCCTCCGGTGGAGTCATTAGTGTCCTGAGTGTTAATTATCATCCCTCCAATGGATTAATTAGTGTCCCGGGAGTGTTATAATTACCTTTTCTCCGATGAAGTGATTAGTGCCCTGAGTGTTAATTACCATCCCTCCGGTGGAGTAATTAATCCTTTCATATAAAAAGAATCACAACTTGATCCTTGACGTCTAAATTAAATGTTTTCCACTCAAATTTAATTCTTGAAATTACAAACCCGTGCATTATCTTCATGTATAACGAGTCGACTTGTATTTCTGGTTGAATCTGCGACAACTTCTTAATACTTCAGGTGGATTTGTTATCTTGTATTTCCGGGGTAAAAAAGCAATTTCCAAGCTTTTACCCTGGAAATTGGTCTCTTATCCCCTCACTCTTCTCATTTTCTTCCCAGGTTAGTTAAATATTTTGGGTTGGACATGAACTTATAATCTTTATAGTTTAATCCTATTCGTGTTGAACATTTACTAGTTCAAATCAACTGTCGATTTCATAAAAAATGTAAAATTATTGACGAAAGTTTGATAGTTTTAGTTTAATATTAATCTTTTTTATTCATTATTAATTTATTCATAAAAACTTTTAAATTATTAAATCAAAAAGTCTTAAAACACAGACCTGGGGTTTCATTCGGGATATTCTTTCCAAATCATGATTGATTGATTGATTGATTGATTGATTGATTGATTGATTGATTGATTGATTGTCTAACATAGAACAATTTTTCTTCATGCAAGAAAAGTAAAACAATGAAACTTGTCCTAGTGCTTCCTGTTGTGTTAACAGTTTACTCCTTGATAAGAAAAGACGATGAGCATTACCAAAGAGCCCGACTAGCAAGGTAGAAATAATCCCTTATTAATCCCATATTTTTTCTGTTTTTTTTAGTTTAGTCATTTTCCAAAATTTACAGAGTACTAATTTAATGAAAATGAGCCGCGTCAAAAACCGGTTTCAATTGAGCGCCGCCTTAAATCTTGAAACATTGCATAGAATTTTAAGTGAAACCAACCATATTTAAGCTGTGACCCAAATTCTTTAAATTCGGCCTCGGAATTCACATGTTTTTGTGTTATTTCGTTTTCATATTGATTTTGACTTGTTAATAAAACATACATTTTTTTCCGACTTTCGATTTATTTAATCCAAACTCAAAGTATACTGATTCTATTTCCATTCCCTTTTTTCTTATTTTATTATCCTTTACCCTCTAGTTGTTGAAAATAGGGTTTTAAAGTCAATATTAACACTCTGTTATCCAGTTTTTTGTATTGTCATTTTAAATTAGATTAATATTCCCCTATACCTTTATATGTATTTATATATATAAATATATATACCTGTATATATATTTATATAATTATATATATTTTTCTCTTATTTCCAATCCAAATTTTCTTCCTAACACCAATCAAAAAGTAAATCTTTTTTATTTTAATAATTTTTCTATATTTATTCTATCTAGGATTTTACTGATAGAAAAAATAGTCTAACTATTCCCTATTCCCTGAAATATTTAGATTTTCCTTCTACGCTCGATAAGATATTCTATCCAAAATTCTATTCCATTTTGGTCCAGTTTTCTCTTTCCTTCACAGTGATAACCAGAAACTCGAGAAAAAGAAGACGACTTTTAGACTCAAAGTATGACTTTAAATAGCCCAAAGAGCATGGGACACACGATTGTGAAATGTAAACAGACCAATTTCACATTTTTAGTGATTCCATAAGTTACTATTAAAACTAATTGTTTTGTAACAACATAAAGTAGATACACATCAGTATTTCTTTAAAGTCGTCTTTGTATTTAAGAGTTTTCTGGTTATCACTGTAGGTCCCTTATTAGTAGATTTCAAAATTATTTTTAGGATTTTTCTTTAGACTTGTCTCGTCCTTCCTCGATCATGGACCACAGTTTGTAGTTCGTGTTGTAGTTGTGGTTCTCAGCGGGCTTCCACACAGAGGAATTTATGATAAAGGTTAAGTAGAATCAATTCTTAATTTACTGAGATATAATTATACTAGCCTTAAATGGCGCTTTGCGCCCATCTTCTAAATTAATTGTGAACATGTTCTCTTTGTGTACATCGTAAAACAAAACAAAAATAATTCGCGGATTTTCACAAAAAATTTCGTGGATTTTCAAAATTTTCAAAGATTTAATGAAGATCGAATTTTGATGGAGACAAATATTTGAAATTTTGATCATTCATAAAACTTCCCTGTGGTCACGTGATGTCCCACAACAAATTTGGGCCCGATCGGTTCAGCCGTTTTGACGTTTATTGCATACAAACAAACAAACAGACAAACAGACAAACATACAGACAAGCCAAATTTACATATAGATATTTATGTATATACCTATATATGACTGATGTATATCTATGCGCCGCCTCCCCCCCGCGCCAAAAAAGATTTGTGGAGAGGATAGATATATGATTGATTTATAATATATTCTATGTGTATTTACGGGATAAAGTTTGAATGCAATATTACTCATTAATATATTTACGTGGAGAACAAAAGATTATTTGCAAGTAAATATACTATACTAGAGACTATAAATCAATTCATATTCATATACATATGCATAATAAATCTTCTTAAAATAAGTCTAGAACATGTTCTATTGTTTATTAAGATTGTTTATTGCTGGACACTGTGTTTCATGTTTGACATTCATCAGCAGCATATATTATTTTTATATATATATATATATATATATATAGATTATAAGATGGACTTTGTTTTTAGGATTTCTGAATTAAGGAAAAAAACATTTTTATCTATCTAAAGACAATTTAACAGTTTATGTTCAAATTTGCATTTCTACGTTTCGTAGAGCAAAGTAAGATTTGCAATGATGTAAAATATGTAATTTAAAAATCACATTTTCCCCGACCAAACATGTTCAGATTGTTTGTTCGACAACCATTAAGAGTTTTTGTTCTCGCTTAGTTTATTATTATTTATTAGCTTTGCCCGTAAAGAAAAAAAATTGAATTGAAAAAAAGTTGGTTAAAAAAGACAGGCTGGAATTTTTTAAGGGAACTCTTGAGTACCCCGGGGTAAATTTTTTTTTGTAATCGAATTTTTTTTCTTTCAAAGATAGAAATTAGTAGTTATCTTTATCCAGCTAATTTAATATCTGGATATTTAATTCTTTCAATAAATATTTATTTATGATCAATATTAAAGAATGTTTCTGAGATTTTTTTTTCTTGTTTCAGGGGATGTAGTTTTTATTATTTCAATGATCTCCAGCTTTCTTTCTCTTATTCTGTCAGCGCTGGTTTTTAATGAAAGGAAATCAAGGTAAATATCTTTATGGTGTTTGCTTAACTACATTCAAGTTTTATGTATTTTTTTGGAAAATGAGTTTATTGGAAAATTTACATTTGCCTTTAATTTTATAATTCTTTTGTACTCTGATTTATTTATTTATTTATAAAGTGTCTAGTATTTATACTTAATTTTTGTATATGTAAATATATTGGTATGTACTACAACATTTTTTAATTATGTACACTTGATATTTTACGTACTGCAATAAATTTTAGTCATGTACTTATGATATTTGTTTGTACTTCAATATATTTCAGTTATGTACTCTGGATATTTGTATGTACTGCAATATATTTCAGTTATGTACTCTGGATATTTGTATGTACTCCAATATATTTCAGTTATGTACTCTGGATATTTGTATGTACTCCAATATATTTCAGTTATGTACTCTGGATATTTGTATGTACTCCAATATATTTCAGTTATGTACTCTGGATATTTGTATGTACTCCAATGTTCTCTGCTATATTAGCTTCTCGTGCCTTCACTTTAGCAGTTTTCTTGAGACAAGTTCTTCAGGTTTGTTAAATTTTTTGGCCACTTTTGACCAATATTACTGACCTATGATTCTCCCAACAGAGGGACGTTAAGATACTCAACGTACTTGGGACAACAATTAAGTAAAATAACAACCCGCTCCGGGAAGTTTTCGTGAAAAAATTTGCGTATTTACTTCTTAAAAGAGAATAAAATTGTATGCAACTACTTTTTCAAGAAAATAAATATCCCAAAGGGTAATCCATTTTTCGGAATTTATTAACAAGCTAAATTTGAACTCGTGATTAATTCCAACTCAGGCATAAAATACTCAAAGCTAAGAATTAGCTTCGATCTGCAGTTTAAAATATAATTTTTACATTTTACAACGATGTGCATTTAGTTTTTTTAGTCACCGTTTACAATTTTCTTAAAGTAAAAGAAAACTTTAGAGAAAACAAGTTAAACTTTAAGAAAACTTTTAGTTTTCTGAAATCCTAATTAATAAAGATTTTCCTTCAAGCCTTTTTTAAAATGGGCTTACTTTGGTATGATTGATGTCTTTCTTTCCAATTTTTAATTAAGAAATTTGCTATGTATATAGGGTACAATGCAGATTTTAGAGATACAAATTATAACATCTCTAGCAATAAGTCAAGAGGATTATCATTTCACTGTTTCCTGGTCACTACTGTCAATGTTAAAAATTATTAAAGAAGGAGATAATTATCTATGGTTTAGGTACTGCCATGTTATTATTTTTAGCTGAAGCTCCCTAGTATCATCTCCCTGGTATCAAATCCATGGTATCATTTCCATGGTATCATTGTAGGTAAAAGCTCCCTGGTATCAACTCCATGTTATTATTTGTGAGTAGAAGCTCCCTTGTATCAACTCCATGGTATTATTTGTAGGTTGAAGCTCCCTGGTATCAACAAATGATTTGTATTCTAGTTGTAGTTCTCATGATATTATCGAATATAGGATTATTCAGGTTAGAGTCAACATTTTTATATTTTTTCAGATGTTTTAAATGACAAACTTCTGAAACATAGACTCCTCTGAAGAGACAAATTCTGAAAATCAGTGCTTAAGATCCTGATCCGTTGGATCCGCAACATTTGGCTACCTGAATCCATGTAGCAAAATATCAACCAAAACTGCAAACAAAAATATTTTGCTCTCAAAACCCATATTTGAAGGTGAACTGTTGAAAAAAGAGAGATTATCAAAATTTCCTTATCTCGGAATGGTTAATCAATTTTAAGCGTTAAAGAAAAATCTTAAAGAAATGTTCCTGACCTGGATCCGGATCCGGATTAAAACACCCAGGAATCCAAAATTAACTGGATCCTAAGCACTGCTGAAAAATACAAACTTCTGAATTAACTTTCCGACAATACTCATTGCTAGGCGCCTGTTGTTGCAGCCATTTTGTTGATATCCCGAGGCACTTTGACTTGGTGCATTTTATGCTTCCCATAAATGAAAGTGCCTTTAACATCTAGTACATATTTTAAAGAATTCTTGTGTTTGATTTTCACAATGTTGGTTCAGAATGAATTATTGTAATTTGATTTTGATTTTACTACTAGATGGTGTGGACAGGATTGGATTCGTAGTGTTGTCTTCAGTTTATCTTCTGTTCTTCTTCCAGCAGGTTAATCTCATCTTCCTTTAGTTTATCTAGTTTATCTTCTGTACTTCTTCCAACAGGTTAATCTCATCTTCCTTTAGTTTATCTAGTTTATTTCCTGTACTTCTTCCAGCAGGTTAATCTCATCTTTCTTCAGTTTATCTAGTTTATCTTCTGTACTTCCTCCAGCAGGTTAATCTAATCTTCCTTTAATTTATCTAGTTTATCTTCTGTACTTCTTCCAGCAGGTTAATCTCATCTTTCTTTAGTTTATCTAGTTTATCTTCTGTACTTCTTCCAGCAGGTTAATCTCATCTTCCTTTAATTTTATTGTTAATCTTCTGTAGTTCTTTCAGCAGGTTGATCTCATCTTCGTTTAATTTTATTGTTAATCTTCTGCTCTACCAGCAGAGTAATCTCATCTTCCTTTAGTTTATCTAGCTTATCTTGAATGATATAACAATATTGTAGGACATAAATATAATAATATTGTACGGTATAACAATATTTTAGGATATAATAATTTTGTAGGATAAAATAACATTGTAGGATATGATAATATTGTAGAATATGTAATATTGTAGGATATAATAATATTGTAGGATATTACAATATTGTAGGATATAAGAATATTGTAGGACATATTAATATTGTAGGATATGGTAGAATTGTAGAATATGATAATATTCTAGGATATGATAATATTGTAGGATATGATAATATTGTAGGATATAATAATATTGTAGGATATAATAATATTGTAGGATATAATAATATTGTAGGATATAATAATATTGTAGGATACAATAATGATCCTGAATATTACCAACTACCCAACCAGAACCTCCTGAGTAACAGATCCTTGGTAAAACCTTTACCCAGGTAGCTAGAACTAATGTTGTGTATCCTATTTTATCCTTTTAATTCTTTTTCAACCTTTTTCATTATTTTTTAACCTTTTTCATTCTTTTTTCTTCTTTTTTATACTTTTTCATCCTTTTTCATCCTTTTTCATCCTTTTTCATCCTTTTTCATCCGTTTTCATCCTTTTTCATCCTTTTTCATCCTTTTTCATCATTTTTCATCCTTTTTCATCCTTTTTCATCCTTTTTCATCCTTTTTCATCCTTTTTCATCCTTTTTCATCCTTTTTCATCCTTTTTCATCCTTTTTAATCCTTTTTAATCCTTTTTAATCCTTTTTAATCCTTTTTAATCCCTCTTCATCCTTTTTCATCCTTTTTCATCCTTTTTCAAACTTATTTTTCCTTTTTCATCCTTTTTACGCTAAGTTTTCAGCTCTGGATTCAAATTTTAACTCGATGATTTCGGCGAGTTAAATATTTACCCCAGGGTTAAAATTCAAGCTTAAATTAAGTCTGAAGTGGCAATTAAGCTGAAACTTTACATTTAAGACAAACTTTTTGTTCTTTAGTTTTAGACTTAGGTAGATATATGAATGGGAAGTAAACTTATAGAAATCCGCCCTGTTGGAATAGAATGTGTTAAATAGGTTTCATTTGTTTGAATTCCTGTCAAAGATGAGTAAAATCTCCTAAATGTATTTGATAAAAAAATATCTAGGTACAAGATGTTTAGATAAGTGCTTTTTGTAAAAGGTATTTTAAGAAAGTTTTTGTTATCAGGAATTATTCAGTTTTTTCAAGTTGACTTCAATTATTTTTTTTTTTGTTACTTTTATGCGTTTTGATAAAAGCTGTATTGTGTAAAAGTTTGCATTGAAAAAGTGGTAGTGTTTATAGATTGTGCTAATGATAAAAAATATAGTTATCAAACTAATCATAATAATCATAATAACCATGATCATAATCATGATAATCATGATACGCATGATATTCATGATATTCATGATATTCATGAAATTATTAATAGTCTCAATAGTCAGAATTTGTTTTAAGGTTAAGACGAGATGTAATTGAAACTGCGGAGCTTGGCAGCCAAGTAAGTAATTATAATTGATATTTTGCTTTTTTGTCCACATTTTGGACGCTATGTACTTTTCCAAAGGCTTCAGTATTTTTAATTACTTAAGATTTCTAAATGCAAATATTTTAACTAAAATTAATGGTAAATGAAAAAAATACTTTTAAGGTTTGTACCCGATCAAACATAATGTATATTTTGAAGTTTGATGGAATTTTTACCAATAAGGCTCACTCTAATTAACTTTAATAATTTATTTAAATTAAATTTTACAATATTTTTAAATATTAATATGATATCAGATGAAAATATTTAGAGATTTCTATATTTCTTGTTCTTCATTTTTTCATATGAAGTTTTGAATAAGGTTGTGACTACTGGACCGGAGGGAGAGGAGGGTGTAAATATAACTGAAAAAGAAGAGTTTTTAGAACCAATGAATTCAGGTCAATAATAGTGTAAAAAATAAAAACATAATTCAAGGGTTCATATGTTTCTTATGATCTTAAATAATTCAATTAAATCTAAAATTAGTCATTCAGATAATAACATACAAGTGTCAGATGCAATTCTATGCATTCGTAAAAAGGCGATATTTCATAATATTTTACTTGTATATGATGCAATTTAAATGAGGATTATTTGGCGGCCAGATGTCTCTTCTCTCGATGTTTCTGTGGTTCCACGTGGGAGAGATACCTAGCCGACAAAAAATCGTCGTTTTAAGTGCATGTATATTAATAGGATCCTCATAATTACTCATCTTATAGGCTGCTAGTAACTATACACAGAAAACACTATAATGAATATAAAATATATGTATATTCGTATTTTAGGAAAATATTTATTGAGTCATATACTTGTAAACACTGTACTGCTTGGAACCTGTTCATTATATGTTTACTTCAGTTCTAAACTTGACATAAAGGTAAATATTCAGATATTCATTTAATTCTGAATATCCAGGTACAGTGTTCAGTTTACACCCTTAGATGTGCTAGGGTTACCCACCAAGGATGAGACTGTAAAGTGTAAAGACGACCTGATACCAGGGATGTTTATTTTTATAAGTTACACTCCCCCTGGGGGGGGAGGGGACTATTGATTTTTGAAGATCTGGGGGGAAAAATGAAAAATTTGACATCAAATAGGGCAAGTTTTTTAAACCCCTTTTTCCTTCTTTTACCCAAAAATTTATTTATTTTCCCCTAAAAATATTTTTTCCTCCTTTTCAGCAAAAAAACTTTCGAAAATGTTAGGAGCTCCACGCAATCGTACCTTTTTTTGGGTGAAAAAAATGATATTTAATTATTTTTTCAAAAATTTAATGATTTGGCGAAGAAAGAAACATTTTGACCTCTGCAGGGTATCAAGAAACAGAAAGTATTAATTCTGTGAAGTCGTCTCTGAAGTCTGATCCTCTGAGGGTAACCCTGCATATATAGCATTTAATCTGAAGTTCTCTTTTTACTTTAATTCACACAACATGGACCTCCTGCAGCATTATCAGAATATATTCATTTTGTCCATTCTCATCATGAAACACAAGACAAATGCATTTTAAGAGTAGTGTTGTTGTGATTTCTAGCCAAAAGCTGGTTCGTTCGATGGAGTTTATACTCGTTTAGTTTATATTCGTGCTCCCACTTTACGAACGAGCACAATCAATGCACCCTGATTAGTTTATAATGGAATGCTATAAGCAAAGCTTCCTCTTAATCACTCGGATTAAAGACTCCTGTCAGTTTAGAATTTATTTGTAGACAGTAATCTAAAAACAGGTGAAAACTGAAATATAAAATAATTTATAAAAATATAAAATATATACAAACAAATACAAAAAATGCAATTTTTAGAGCGCGGCTTTTTAGATTTTCTGTGTTGGACTTTTTAGGACAATATAGTTTTTATGAAAGAATACAAAATTAAAACTTACATTACGTTGGGTATCCATTTACATGAGAGCACAGTAGTTCACAGTCTACAGTTCACAGTTCAATGCTTGCATACTCATCAATTGATCAATAATGTCTATACAAATTTTTGATTAACTGATTATAAAAATATTTATATAAATCGTTTACAAATATTTTTTAATTATTTCCTTTAACATTTTCAGAAACAATTTTATCTAATCACCTGTAGGACCATTTTAGTTTACATCGACCTACAGAAATTCTTAAACTCCACACCAAGAGTTCTAATTAAATAACATCGTTATTTATTTACTATTGAATTGATAGATTTCAATAACATTAATTTTCACAAATTGTCAGTGTTTTTTTTATGTGAAATTGATCTACCTTTTGGGACTTGAAGGCTTGACAAAGTCCAGGTTGAGCACAGCAGTTTACACTGTGCTAAAGGGTAGAATTCCAGCACTGCCTCAGCACTGGTTTCAGTTTTCTATAAAAGTAAACTTATAGAAAACCGTGGTGTGTTTTTGTATGCATAATTGGAGAATTCATTTTAGATTTAATACCTATTTAATCTTTGTCGAGAGAAACTTCGACCGTTCAACCTTTACACGCTGCTCAGTCTATAAAAATGCTTTGTTAGTTTTTGCATATTTTTTAGAAGAATGTTTTTTCTTCTCTTACCCAAAAGGGAGTTCTAGACTACTGCAGCGCTTATGTAAAAAGGTTGTCCAAGTTTCGGCAGAAACGCAGCCTCTACTTAGATCTATTAAAAAAGGGTTTGTATTAAAATCTTTTTAAATGCATTTTTTACAAATGTACAATTTTTACAGCTTATAAACTCATACCTATATATATTCCAGGTACGAAGATTGTGATAGGTTTATACATCCTAATCACATACTTGTAGTCCAACTACGCGCTTTAAACTTTCTCATTCCTTCTGAAAAAGATTTCAGAAATTAATATTTTCTTTAATGAAAGTTTTTTAAATATAGGATAAATATTGTTTAAATATTGGCTAAATATCTTTTAGATAAAATCCATATAAAATTCATGGTTCTGAATATAAAATGTTTATGATTTCAGACAGTAAACTCAAAAGTTTTACATTTAAGTTTTAAGAATGAATTTTCATTTAAATAGGTTTGAAGATTTTTTGAGTAAACATTTACTTTGACAATTAAACAAGATCAAATATAATCAGGTTGAATCTTGCTTATATATCTTCAATCTTCAGGTCTTGAATCATCTATAGGATCATCTGAAGGGTTTACCGAATCGTCTTCAACCTATACAGTAGAATTTACAGTTGTGACAAAAACCAGTCAACCCCATGTCCCCCTATAATACCCCACCGGGTGTTTGAGAGAGCTCATCTGATGGCGGTCTGGGTTTTTTTTTTTTGGGGGGGGGGGCTTTCAGATTTTTCTTCCGATACTCCTGATCTTGATTGTTCTTGACAATTTTTATTTTTAGGAGGATGATGCGTTAGTTCTTCCACAAGTGCTATGTGCTATACCAGGTTTATTATTAGATCTGATTTATAATTCCGATTTCTTTGCAATCCAAATATTTTAAAATATGAATTCTATTAGGAAAAAAAAACAATCTTAAGTTTGAAATATTAAAATAAGGTTTACATCATCGGGTTGTAAAGAAAATTAGAAAATTTTGTCACTCAATTCCTTTTTTAATCAATGCTTGTTTCTTCAGTGAAATAAATTAAAACACAGAAGTATAATTTGAAATAAAATTGATAAAAAATTTAGTTACACAATTTTTAAAATGTCATTTCAGGATTGTTATTTGCAATCGGGAGAAGTTTTCTACACTTTCATGAACTAACCCAGTACCAGGATAATGGAACATTGTCGGAGAGGTGAAAAAACTAAATCTGTAAAAATGAAAATCTTTCAGAATTTCTTTAGATCTCGTTAATTTCGGTTTCTATTGATCTCTTGAATTTGGTTGCTTGTGATCTCTTTAACTCCAGATCTCATTAATCTTGTTTTCTCCTGATCTCTTTAACTCCAGATCTCTTTAATCTTGTTTTCTCTTGATCTCTTTAACTTCAGATCTCATTAATCTTGTTTTCTCTTGATTTCTTTAACTCCAGATCTCATTAATCTTGTTTTCTCCCGATCTCTTCAACTACAGATCTCATTAATCTTGTTTTCTCCCGATCTCTTTAACTCCAGATCTCATTAATCTTGTTTTCTCCCGATCAATTTAACTCTAGATCTCATTAATCTGGTTTTCTCCCGATCTCTTCAACTACAGATCTCATTAATCTTGTTTTCTCCTGATCTCTTTAACTTCAGATCTCATTAATCTTGTTTTCTTCCGATCTCTTTAACTCCAGATCTCATTAATCTTGTTTTCTCCCGATCTCTTTAACTTCAGATCTCATTAATCTTGTTTTCTTCCGATCTCTTTAACTCCAGATCTCATTAATCTTGTTTTCTCCCGATCTCTTTAACGTCAGATCTCATTAATTTTGTTTTCTCCCGATCTCTTTAACTTCAGATCTCATTAATCTTGTTTTCTCCCGATCTCTTTTGCCCTGAGCCCAAAACTTAAGACAGGGTACCGTCATGAAACCCAGTTTCGCGAATGGGGTACGGCTATTTTGTAGATTTCGATATGTTTTTTAAGAATTATTATTTTATATGCAGTAAGTTTTATATTCTCTCTTTTTCTACTTCTTGATGTAAATCTACACAAATCTACAAACCCTAAAAAGGAAAGAAGTATTTTTCAACGATACTCATCTAAATTTCCCGCTTAGGTTTCTCTCTATCAGTACACTTTACAGCCTGACCCAGTCGTGTCGTCTGTGCAGTGTATGCAGATCAAATTTCAAGTTATTTATTTATTCAAATTTAAATTTTTTTCAGAGTTTCTGGTTCTTGTCAGAAGGGAACTAAACTTGCAATGGCAATTATTTTCACTGGTTTAGGTAGGTTGTATTAACAATCCAGACTGCAGGGGAATATATTTTGGTGAAAATCATTCCCCCCCTCTTCCTCCCTCTTCCTCCCTCTTTAAAATGCTTTTAGAACACTTTACATAAATTTTTATAAATTATCGAAGGTTTCAATGATAGATATTTTGATAAAAAGTGTCATACCATGAAGAGACAAAGTTCAAAAAATATAAATGTTCATCCGAATGTTGAGAGATTCTCTTTTTTCTTAAACCCATCAGTTGGTATTTTGTACACAATGGATAGATTAGTTTCCTTTTCCTTCAAACATTGTTCTAAACTCTTCAGGGGAATGGGTGGGATATGGGAAGGAGGGAGGGAGGAAATGGTCCAGTTTTTGAACAAAATAAATTAAGTCAAATCCCAAAAGATTTATCATTTCTCATTCAACATTTGATATTCCAATCATAATAATATTTGGATATTTTGTTGATAGATATTTATTTTTCTATTTTTCAGGATTTTGTTCCCTAATCCCTGCAATACTCTGGACATTGTTCTTTAAGTTTATCAGCTCTCTACTTGTCTAGTAATAATTTATCTATTTGATTTCAACAAAATTTCAAGAATTCTCTCACTCCTGGCTTGGGGTGGGGGATGAGAGTTGGTTAAGCTTATCAGGAAGAAAGGGATTTAATCAAAATGCAAGCCTTAATACCTTTTTTAAACTGTTTCAAAACATTTTAATTATATCCCCAAAATTTCCCTTAGATTCTATCAAATCATTAAATTAGATTGGATCACAATTTAATATTAAATGTTTTTAATGCTTTTGCGGAGGAAATCAAAATTACCTTATTTCAACAGTCAGTACTCCCCCTATGATATAAATATTTTTGTTTTGATGGATTACAAAAAAAAATAACGATAAGATTATTTAATCATCTGTCCTATCTATCAATGCATTATATACTCAGTCAAACTTGCTTTATGAGAGTTAAACTTTGGAAGTTAATCTTTTTTTAGTTATTTAATCACCTTTGATGAGCATTACCAATTGTTAAATATGTGATTTCTGTGAATAACTAAAGTTTAAGTTGAAATCACGTAAATTGTTTTTGAATAATTTTGGTCTTTTTTGGGTTTTTTGGCCACCTTCAAATGTCTAATACAGTATACATGATGGCCTTATAAACATTGAGATCTTCATTTAATGAATTGAAGAATTGGTATTGGAATACCTAATTAAAACAGACAAAGTATGATTTGAAATTTGAAAAATGAAGAGGGAAATCTGGATTTTGATAACAATAATATACGCAATAAAAACAAAGAAAATAACCAAATTTTGAATTCAACAGAACACTAAATCAAAAATTAGTAATGCAATCTTGAAAGTTTATAAGCTTTCCAAAATGTGGTCTACTGTTATATTTGAAAAGATACCCCCAAAAGGGGGGGTAACAATATTCTAGTAACCTTCAAGTCACACACCAATAATAGAACAAAGTAGTTGAACATTTATATTAAAAAGAAACAAAATGAAGGAATAAATAACTAAAGTCAAAAGACACAGATTTGGCACTCAGTGATAGGTTACTCCTTTGGCCGGATACTCCTTGGCTGGATACTCCTTTGGCTAGATACCTCCTTTGGCTAGATACTCCTTGGCTAGATACCTTTAACATGGTATCTCCTCAGGGCTGCGTATCTCCTCAGGCCAATTATCCCCTCAGGCAACATATCTCTTCTGGCACCATCTTTGTTCTGGTAACAAATCTCCTTCCGCATGTTGTTTTCCCACAGCTCCAATCCGTCCAAGCATTTTCTATTCCTTTGGACTGACTGCTTCTTACCACTGTGGGGAGTTGGAGAATGTCTTCATCCTCTCCTTGTGAGAGCTGGCGCACAACTGGCTTCTTTCTCTTTCCCTCTCTGTGTTCTGAACCCAGATCCAGCCAATTCTTAATCTTGTGGCCAGCTGGCTGGTCAACCCCTGTAGAGGGGCAACACTAGATAAGGCAGCTGGAGCAGGGGGAGGGGGGGCCAGGTTTGGGTTGATTTGTCCTGAAGAATTTTCCATGCTCTATACCCATCCTCAGCAGGGAGGGGGGTTGGGGATGGTTACATGCCCCCTTGGTTTAAAATCTGGTTGTATTTGGCAAACCAGACTTAAAACCACATAATACAATATGTTATTGATGTAAAACTTGAATCATACTAGAATATTGGCGAACCAAATCAAAATGCATTTACTTAAGCAATATGGATTAAATTATAGGCACAACAGATTCAAAGTGTTCGAGCATTTCTCCATGAAACCGTTTGTGGAGAAACACAGACTTGTGGTTGGTGATGTTCATTCACTGGAGTATGAAGATGCTAAGGATGGTTCAAAAGTGAAATTCGATAGGAAACTCTATGCAAGATCAGGAGGAGTCGGAAGTCTCATAAGTGACATAGGAGAATCGAAGACCAATCCAACAGATCAGATGAAAAAATAGAGGATCCCGACATCAAAAAGATCTGCACTTCCCAATTCACAAGGTCTGGGCACTCCTGGACACGACCAAGTATACTCTACATCTGGAATTACAGTTTTGAAAGTCTCCTCAATGATGGGGAAATTTTCAACAACTTTTCCTGGTAGTAAGCTCATCATAACCTTCTGGTGTGTGTCCTTTAACTGTATCTGCACACAGTCCCCAGTCTCAAGTGAAAACCAAACCACCTGCGCATCCGTTGATGATAAAACTTCATGCACATGTATGTCTTCACATGCTAAAGCCTGTCCAGAGAAACCACTCAGTGTAGTCAATATGGCCATTTTCCATAGCAGATGTATAGGCATTGGCAACAAGACCAAGACTCAGACTGCCATAACAACAGCTTTCTTTATCTCAGTTCCGTATTCATCAGATATTTTTTTCCATAGTGCTTTTATCTTTATTAAGCATTTGTGGGATTTCAGATCCTTGCTTCCTGCATGAGCCGCGGCTCCCACTACCGACGGCTATTTTGTCAATTGCTGAGAAAGTTATACAAACGTCCGTGTTCAATGAATCGATGTGTTTACACCAGATCCAATTGTCCCCAATCATTCCTTTGTCCCTAGCACAATAGCCTGTTGCGATTTCATATTCGTCTCCATTTGCATCACAGCTCATAGTGGTTTTATCCACAATCACAGTATGCTTTCTAATAGGTGGGCCCTCTTGCTTTGCAGGCTGGTTCATCCTGTTGTTGATTTTGTTAGTATTCGCATCTTTTAGTATAATATCAACAACCACTTGCGTGATTGTGTCGCAGTCAATGGTAATGTTTCCACTACCATAAACCGCCCCGTTAGTCTTGTGAAAAACCATCAAGCAAATCAAGTAGAGCAGCACACTTTTGGTTACTCCTCCCGATCTCGTTGTCGTGTATCTGTATTCTCCGTCCTTGGAAGCCCTAGCGCAGGCTCCCCAGCGTCCCTTCTCTCCCACCTTAGTGAAGGAACCACCTTCTTCATCACAGAGATCCTTGTCTCTAGTAAAAATGAAGAACTCTTCCATAGTTCAAAATGCGCTTGTTAGTGATCACAAACAATTCTTTTCAAATCGTATATAAGCCAATCAAAAAAGATTTTCCATTCTCCGAACCACCCTATGCCAGATCTACTTAGGGTTGGTAACTCACTCCTATGTTCTGCTCCAAAATTGACAGGGTAAAAAGAAAGCCAATCGTCTTCTTCATATAGCCCTGGAGGACACATTCTGAAGCCCTCAACTGTCTGATTTGTGATGAGAACTACATCGTCAGGTCGTATTCCTCATGATGTGAAAGCCGTGTCCAACTCAGATTCATGTTCCCTAAATCTGAGAAGTGGGTTTTTGCGCATGCTGTTTTTTATATCTCCAGTTATGCTCCCTGGCTTGTTAATACACTGATTCTTCTGGGCTGTGTGATGAATCGTGCTTCCCCAGAATATGTCTTCAGCTTGAGACACATAGCATATATTTCTGAGCCCAACCATCCCCGGGACCGGATATGCACTACTAAGGGAAAATATCTTACTTGCACACTTGTCCAAGTCTTTTTCATTCAGCCATTCAGACACTAAGTATCTAGGTTTCATCACCTTACCCATTGGAACTATATTGTTAGGAACGGCTGCACTGATGGCTTGTATCGTCCTCCTCACATCCCTCAAAAAACTGTATTGAATGAGGTAGTTTCTAATCTGGAGGGCATGTCATGCCTCAGCCTCTACATCCAAGAATTGACCAACACTATATACAGCCTTGGCAAAGATCTCAGATTGTGGTCTCACTGCGCACCACCTGCTTACTAGTTTGCTGCTCTTGAGGTTTCCATCTGAATCCCTTTCTCCGACTTCAAATTTCACCTCGATTGGTCTGTGACAACAAAAATCTATGTCTTTGAACTTTGTGATGATGTGTGATGGTTGTTGAGGATCAATGTCCTTCCTGACATATCCGGTATTTTCCCAATATCCGATTTCCTCGGATATGGATGTGATGTTTTTCTGTGTTCCTAAAACCACCTTGTCATCTCCAGAAATGTAGCAGTTGAGATCTTTGTCCTCTTCTTTTTTCCAGATTGCATCAGCGGCATGGTCCAATCTGTTTTCTTTTACCAGCTCTGGACATAGAGCTAGTGCTAGATGTGTGATGGTTTTATTTGTACTTGTGATGGTGTTTCCTACATAAGTGACTATAGTGCCACTCAGTCTTCTTTTTCTCTCTCTCAAAACACTTAGTTCAACTTGTGATCCTTTTGGTCTTTTCAACAATGTGATGTGGATACACAACAACAAGATCGGGAGGAGTAACCAAAAGTGTGCTGCTCTACTTGATTTGCTTGATGGTTTTTCACAAGACTAACGGGGCGGTTTATGGTAGTGGAAACATTACCATTGACTGCGACACAACCACGCAAGTGGTTGTTGATATTATACTAAAAGATGCGAATACTAACAAAATTTACAACAGGATGAACCAGGCTGCAAAGCAAGGGGGCCCACCTATTAGAAAGCATACTGTGATTGTGGATAAAACCACTATGAGCTGTGATGCAAATGGAGACGAATATGAAATCGCAACAGGCTATTGTGCTAGGGACAAAGGAAGGTTGGGGACAATTGGATCTGGTGTAAACACATTGATTCATTGAACACGGACGTTCGTATAACTTTCTCAGCAATTGACAAAATAGCAGTCGGTAGTGGGAGCCGCGGATCATGCAGGAAGCAAGGATCTGAAATCCCACAAATGCTTAATAAAGATAAAAGCACTATGGAAAAAATATCTGATGAATAATGAGATAAAGAAAGCTGTTGTTATGGCTGTCGGAGTCTTGGTCTTGTTGCCAATGCCTATACATCCGCTATGGAAAATGGCCATATTGACTACACTGAGTGGTTTCTCTGGACAGGCTTTAGCATGTGAAGACATACATGTGCATGAAGTTTTATCATCAACGGATGCGCAGGTGGTTTGGTTTTCACTTGAGACTGGGGACTGTGTGCAGATACAGATTAAGGACACACACCAGAAGGTTATGATGAGCTTAAGACCAGGAAAAGTTGTCGAAAATTTTCCCATCATTGAGGAGACTTTCAAAACTGTAATTCCAGATGTAGAGTATACTTGGTTGTGTCCAGGAGTGCCCAGACCTTGTGAATTGGGCAGTGCAGATCTTGTTGACGTTGGAGTAGAAGCCTATGGATGGGCTGATGGTTGTTTCCAGTTTGGACTGGGGACAGTTTGCACACGGATAAATTTTACCATCCCCAATGAAGATGACAATGTACTGTATTTCATAGATGTTAACACCTTTGGAATTGGAGGTGTCCTCAATATAGGAACTGATTTACGAACCGAAGTTGAGGTAGAACCAATAAAGACCCAAGAGGATTTTCTTGAAAGGAAAAGTGACTGGGAAATAGTTGGCATAACAGAAGGAACATTGATTGTAGCTAAATGCTACAAGTTTGAAGGAATGGGAAAGAACGGATGGATGACGGACCCTGCTGAAGAGGGGGGCAAAAGCTGCATACCTCAGCACATTCAGAATGAAGACTTGATGGAAGGTTCTCAGGAGTTCCCTCTTGAACATTCATTTCTCGGCCGCTGGAATGTGCAATGTGATTACTATCCTCTGGGAGAAAAGTACCAGGGTACAGCAGTGGTTTACTACAACGGATTCTGGAAGGTAGCTCACACAGGAATGCGAGCGAGCACCATGTTCAACAAAGGTTATAGGGCTAGAGACAATGAGAGAATATCTGAAAGTCAAAGATACATAACCTGGGGAGAGCACACTACAAATGGTAGAAAGTATGCAGTGAACAAAATTTCAGACAAGAATATTGAACAACTGGATGAAAGCCCTCTGTACGAGGGAGAGCTTCAGGTAAACGGAAGAAACCTTAGTATGGAGTTGCTCACAAAAGGGACCGCTACATGCAGAGTCTTCATGGAAAAGACCAACATCGTTCAGTTTGATGAGGACACTTGCGAGTATTCCAGTGGAACTCCGGCTGTACACAACTCTACACATGTGGTAGTCAGAACAAAGGGCCTTTGTAAGATACACTACCTTCTTTGTATCCTTAAATTGACCTAGATATTGAACATTTATAATGACCTGATTTATTATAAACTGGATTCTGGGAAAATTTCTTACTGTCTCTGTCAATTTTAAAGATGAAGAACTGGTAAATTACATTTTAGAAATAAGACCAGTAGTTTTTGGTGTTAAATGTTTAACTGTGATACTTCAAAATAATGTTAACAAATAATTCCGCATGGAACAAAGACGATATTAAAATCGTCATTTAATTCCTGTTATTTGGGACGCCCTGTGTTTATCTAAATAATATTTGGTAAAATAATGGTATCTTTGATTTCCAGTGTAACTGATTCACACAAATTTCACTATTCATGAGTTCTATATTAATGTTACAAGTACAAATGTGATAATTGATACAAAGATAGATGTTAACCATTAAACCAAGTTCAAATTTGTTCAAAACGCATGTTGCAAATATTTGAATTTCTATAGTAGAAAATATTTCATTATTATTAACAATTGCTCCGAATTTATCACAGATCAAATCTGGTTGGATTTATGTTCAAGAGACAATTGTTGAATATATGTACAAGCTTGGATTTAGGTACTATATTCAGATTACAGTTATTTACAGTGTTACCTATAAAGGATGATACGGCTGTACTCGAAACATATTCTCTCTGTTTACTTATATTCAAAATTCCCTGCGATTATGAATTTGTTTCTTTCTTGCCCTATCAATTAAAAAGCCATAAAAAGACTATATTTAAGGCAGAGGACTTGATTCGACTTTGTACACGATTCTGGTTCAATATTTATGTACACTGTTTCCAGAATTATTATAACCATTATTTGTTTATTTTGTGTTCAGTTGTTTCCTTATACCACAATGTGCAATGTACAGTATCAAATTATCATCATATTTATGTTAAAATGCTTATTCCTGTAGCAACAGTTTCAAATATTATGTAATGCCTAAAAATATAGAAAATATTGTTAAACAAGTTAATAAACAAATAAACTATCATGATGATTGGAGTTGTTGACGTTTGTTAAACCGTTGGGAAATTATTTGTAAACGCTTTAATAGGGACTGCTTTGTAATATAAGTTACTTGTTAAAGAGGTGGTGACTTGATTCACAACAGTACCCTTAAAACCACTATTTGCAGAGTACCACTCTGTCATTGAAGGGTTTAAAATCGTTGTGGCACGATTTTGTGACCATGGAATTAAAATGATTTTCATCATTACAAATAAACCATTACAAATATAATTATGAAAATTCTAACGCGAATTCCACTTAAATAAAATTTTAATTATATCTTTATCTGTAAATTTAAATAGTAAAATTGTTGTATACAAATCAAACAAAAATTACTTGGTAAAATTACATGATCTCTCGTGGAGCCCGCGCCCCACATTCTGAAATAATAAGTCTCCCAAGAATATCTGTCTATTTTATCTAAACCTATAGCCTGGAACAATGTATGTTTTTTTTTAGAAAAAGGGGGGTCTAGAATAGGGGTGTATTCAGGGGGCTTAAACTTTTTTCTTTACAGGGGGGGGGGCTCAGCACCGTTGGGACCTGAAAACCCCTTTGAAATTACGGAGGGAGGGGGTCCGGAAGAATTACGGAGGGAGGGGGTCCGGAAGAATTACGAGATGATGTGTCCAACTACTCAACTACAAAACAGAAAGGAAAAAGTTTATTTAACATATATCTTTTTATGCATCGTATAAATATGAGTGAGACATCTAACACGTCATTATTAAGATTTTTAATAAGAATTTTTTCAAATATCACATTTTGGTAATTATAAGAGTATATTAATAATCATTTTTATTGCCGAGTAAAATGTTAAAAGGCCGAATTTAAAGAATTCGAGCCGTGTCGCTGAACCGGCAAAAACATTCCCAATACAATTTCAAGTGAGACCATGGTTTGAGCCGCGTCTCAAATTTGAGATTTTCCTCAAATTCTTAAAATTCGGCCAATGGTCCGCTTAACAGTGGAGTTTAAGAAATTTTATCCTTCCAAGTCAATTTATGAACCAATTAACCAAAACTAAGTTAAAGTTGATTAGTCGGCCAATCTTTAAATCAGAGTTTTGACACGAAGATGAAAACTATGAATTACAAAATTAAAAATAAAATATTTTTAATTTTCCATGTTTTTCCCTCATTAATTTCACCTAGTGAATGCAATACTAAGATATCGTAAATTATGTTTTGTGTAATTTATTTCGTTTAATTTAATTGCTGAGTGACAGTATTTAAATTTTTTTAAATATTTTAATTTTGTGTTTTTTTATTTAAAAAACTTAGAGCCTTTGTAAAATTTCTATTTTTATTGAATTTTATTTTCCTCTTGAGAAAAGGTCAAAATGGATTTATCCCGGTTTCCTTAAATTGTATTTTTGGTCAATTTGTCGTCATTCGGGTATACATAGCCTTTAGCAGATAAACATTAAACATGTGAGAAACCTTTGTGTATAATAGCTTAGAGAAGGATACTCCCCTCATGTTCATGTCATTTCGTAAAATTGTTAAGTAATGGTAAACGAAGAAACACTTCATACTCGGTTATTATGCACAAAGGTATACAAACTATAGTTCACATATTTATGTTCGTAATATCTGGACAAAGACCAATCTGTTATCTAACTTTTATAAGACTAGAACTACTGTTAACCCTGTAAATATTTAATCCTCTTTGACCCTTGGAAACCGGAAAACACGTGATAATTATAAAATATAATATTGGTATTATTATTATCCTTGTAATAATTATAAAATATAATATTGGTATTATTATTATCCTTGTAATAATTATAAAATAACGCATACAGAACTCTGCTGGGTTTGACTGAGTGGTGATGCTGATCTGTAACCTTCATCATCATAATCTTCTAGAATTAAATCTTTTTAATATTGTGTTTAATAATTTACGCAAACATGTCCATTGTCTACCGGTCTACTTCTTACTGTTTTTCTGCACTCCTTTATGCCCCTCCCTAGCCCCCTTAAGCCTCCCCCACCCCCATATTTAGCTATTGGCATAAAATTTGTATTTTTTGTAAATATTTTACAATTTCTGTTTCAAAACTAAGTCGTAAGAGAATAAACTAATTTTTAGAGATAATAAACAAAACATTATAATAATCTCGATAGAATAAACAAATTGTTAGAAATAATAAACAGACCACTATAATAACCTTGATAGAATAAACTAATTGTTAGAAATAATTAACAAAAATAACATAATTAAAACCTTTTTCAAGCTGGGAGATGTTTACAGTGTAATACAGTGATACCCAGAAAAATACGACTTTTAGAATCAAGTCAGAACTTGAAAAGGTTTAAGGAGCATGAGACAAATATATTGTGCAGTGATTTGATAAGTGTCTAGTACATGTACATTTTATTGTATCAACGTCAAATACACTCAAGTATTGCTATAATGTCGTCTTTCTATTCTATTTTGTTCTGGTTATCACTGTACATTAAACGTGCAGGTTGCTGGTTTTAAAGAAGCTTAATGGGACCCTTGCATGTAACAGTATGAATCAGACATACAACTATTTAATTAGAGGGTACTTGAAACTATGTCTACAATCCCTTAGAATATTGCATGGTTGGCATTGTGCTGGCGACTTGTGTTAAAATATTATTGAACTATAAGCAAAGCACAGTGGTATATATATTTCATGAAAACATACCGTGGGTCATATCGTTGCATTATTTGAACCGGTACGAGGATTAACCGGTCTAGTGTAACACTTACATATTTCCTCCTACCAGCCCGTCTATGTGAACCCAGTGTTTACAGGACGTTTTATTGACAGCCAATACAATCAAGACAAATTGTTTAATAGTTGGTTCAGTAAAAATTTTTTCAGAAAATTGTTCGTTCAGCAAAATCTTGTTAGACCATGGGTTTTCATAAAAAGTCGTTTAGACGATTTAGAAATCGTTATTTAACGGTCTAACTGATCAATGAAAAGCTAACGATCATTGAAGATTTTTAATCGATCTTTTTTCGTTTCCGAACAATTTTGGTTTGATTTAAAATCTTGTTTTCTGATGATATGTTAATGAAAATATATACCCCTGTTATAGTATTTATGATTAAATCTACATTACCTACTGATTATTACCTTCTAGCTGTTTCATGGCTGCCCCGAACTGATCTGTTGTGTGGGCGTTAAAAAAGGATTTTATTACTTTAGTAGACACACCATGCTTTCCCATTGAATCCGCTTTCTCTAACATTTTCTTTAAATTATCCTAATAATACAATATTATCAATGTTGATTAAAATAATGATAATAATAATAATAATTATAATTATAATTATGAAAATTATAATAATAATAAAAATAATAATAATTACAACTCTCTGTTGAAGACGAGCTTGAGTTTTCTTCATAAGCAAGAGCTCAACAACAATACTTTGCTTCTAAAATTAGAATTATTTATGAGATTATTAAAGTGAGTGTTCACATATTTAATCAGTTGGTTATATCGGCAATTTTATACTAGTTGGTGACGGAGACGCAACTTTCTCAATTTACTTTTAAACAACGATATTCCGAAGTTTGTTGAAAAAAACACTCCAATATTTTTGTAAATTTCTTGAATTCATTAAGTCCCGCCCTCAAATCAACATCTTCCGCGGAAAGCAAAAAGAAGAAGGAAATCAGTTTGTATGGATGAAAGAATAAATAAATGAATGAAAAATAAATATTCCTACCTGTGGGTCTACAACCTTCCCATTTACTTGAATTCCACTCCTTTAAACAGTTCCAATAATTTTTCTGTCTTGTCTGGGTTGTTGTTTTTGTCTGTCTTGTCTTTCTTGTCTTTCTTGTCTTTCTTGTCTTTCTTGTCTATCTTTTCTATCTTGTCTATCTTGTCTATTTTGTCTCTCTTGTCTAGGTTGTTTGTCTTGTCTGTCTTGTCTTTATTGTCTATCTTTTCTATCTTGTCTATCTTGTCTATCTTGTCTATCTTGTCTGTCTTGTCTAGAATGTTTGTCTTGTCTGTCTTGTCTTTCTTTTCTATCTTTTCTATCTTGTCTATCTTGTCTATCTTTTCTATCTTGTCTGTCTTGTCTAGAATGTTTGTCTTGTCTGTCTTGTCTTTCTTTTCTATCTTTTCTATCTTTTCTATCTTTTCTATCTTTTCTATCTTGTCTATCTTGTCTTTCTTGTCTATATTGTCTATCTTGTCTATCTTGTCTATCTTGTCCATCATGTCCATCATGTCTATCGGTCAATCTTGTCTATCTGTCAATCTTGTCTATCTTGTCTATCGGTCAATTTTGTCAATCTTGTCTATCTATCAATCTTGCCAATCTTGTCTATCTGTCAATCTTGTCAATCTTGTCTATCTGTCAATCTTGTCAATCTTGTCTATCCTGTCTTCTCTACTTACTTAGTGATCACACTTCTATCACTCTTCAAAAGTTCCTTTGTTGTTTGACCTTTTTTAGACGCAACTGCACTCTTACGGATAAACTAAAATATTCATTAATAATATGTAATACTTTACTATTGTTTGTAGAATAGTATTATTATCATGAGTGTATATAACTCTACCTGTTTCCCCACTATCTGAATCATAATATTTCCATTGTTGAGATATTCAACAAGTTGCCTGAACCAAAACAAATATTTATATTTAATTAAAATAAGTCGGAAACTAAATAATCACTTGCTGCAATAACATGAAAACGACAATATATATTTATAACTAAATTATAACGTATCCATTCATTTTATAGGATATCTTTTGGAATTATTTCCTTATTGAGTCTAAATAACCCTAAGATTATTGTGAAAAAATTACCCCTAAATTTTGAGATGACGACATTTAATGTTCCATCTGTATTGATATTAATCTATGGTTTTCAGGTAGAAATCTTATACTGTCGTATCTTGTGTTTTCAGTAAATAAAGTGAACCAATTATTGGTAAAAGAAGAAAAAAGAAATTAAATAAAAATAAAAAAGAAACTATAAAGAATTAATAAAAAAGCAAATGAGTAAATTAAAAAAAAATTCATTAAATTAATAAATATGTAAGTAAAGTGAATAAATGAATTAATGTTTAAATAAAAAAATGTATTAATTAAAGAATGACTAAATGAATAACGGAATATAAGTTTTTTTATGAATAAATGAGTAAATGACAGAATAACTGAATAAATATTTAAATAAATAAATATATAAATGAATACATCATTCAATGAAAAAAATAAATAAATGAATGAATCACCTTGTTGCTGGCGTAAAGCTGAATTGCTTCTTATGATTAAAATCCGGATTTGAGGTGAGGCTCACTTTCTCAGTTGTCGTGTCCTATACAGGCAAAACATAGGTTGTCAAAACTAGATAATTAAGCCTCAGAAAAGGAGAAGGAAAGATATGAGAGACACCTAGCGGCCAAACTATTGTCCCCCAAAGTACGTGAACAACATTATTAACAACATAATTATCATTTAAACATTATTAGAGAGAGAACGGGCTCAGAAAAGGAATTGAGTCTTAGTTAGCAACTCAGATTTTCTAGTCCTTATATCTTTAAGTAGATATTTCTGTAAAAAAAAATAGTAATAATAATAATAAATGTTTCAACTATCAAAGGTTTACATCATCGGGTTGCAAAAATATATGTATTTGCAAATTGGAGGTTGTGGCAAAGAACCAATTCATTTGGATGGTGTATAAAGAAAATTAGTGAATGAGGGGAGAAGTGTTGTTAGGAAATTAGTGAATAGGTGGATGGTATAGTAAGAAATTAGTGAATAAGGGGAGAAGAAGTAAGAAAATTAGTGAATAAGGGGGAAGTGTTGTTAGGAAATTAGTGAATAAGGGGAGATGTAGTAAGAAAATTTGTGAATTAGGGGAGATGTAGTAAGAAAACTATTGAAGGAGGGGAGATGTTTGTAAGAAAATTTTTGATTAAGGGGAGATAGTAAGAAAATTAGTAAATTAGGAGATTTGTAGTAAGAAAATTAGTGAATAGAGGGAGATGTAGTAAAAAAATTAGAGAATAAGGGAGATGTAGTAAAAAAATTAGAGAATAAGGGAGATGTAGTAAGAAAATTAGTAAATAAGGGAGATGTAGTAAGAAAATTAGCAAAGAAGGGAAGATGTAGTAAGAAAATTAGTAAAAAGAGGGGATGAAGTAGTAAGAAAATTAGTAAATAAGGGAGATGTAGTAAAAAAAAGTAAATAAGGGAGATGTAGTAAGAAAATTAGCAAAGAAGGGAAGATGTAGTAAGAAAATTAGTGAATAAGGCGCCGGGGGTGATAGTATCAAAAAAAGATGAGAGATGCTAAAAAAAGAAGGATATCAAGAAACTTTAATAAAGCAAATCATGTAAAAATGTATTTCACCTTTTCATCCAGGTAGACCCTGTATTTACAGTGCATATCCTAAATATATATTTAATAAAAATTTGACATTAAACTATTATTTTTTTCCTTTTGGGATGAATCGTAAACGTAAAATTAGAGGTCCTGACTCCCGACTCCTGGATAAAAATCAGAATTAGAACTGTTTCCCGAGTTTTTATATCGCGATCTTTTGTGGTTTAATGAATTAATATAAGAAAAAATTAAACGCTCCTAGTTCCTTGATTTGCTGTATCAAAATATGACTGAAAATATTTTTAAACTCTTGTTGACCCCGTGGGCATGGCATTTTCTTGACTAATTGTTAAGAAAATAATAAAAGTGATGAAGATTTTGAAGAAAAAATAAGGTTTGGACTATTTTATATATTTTATGTTCGAAATAAAAAATTTTAACTCACCGTGAATTTGTTAGGTAATCCTCTGCAATTAACTATCTTCACCAGGAAATGCAACTAAATTTTTTTATAAAATTTTAAATTTTTTTAATTGATTTCTTTAATTATTTCCTAATTTTTTTTTACTTACATCCTTGCCGACCAGATCGTCAGGACTATCAACAAACTTGTCATCAGCCTCAGTATATTCTTTTCCTTTCCTGTTACAGGGTGCTACTTCAATCTAGATAATATTCCTGTTACAGGGTGCTACTTCAATCTAGATAATATTCCAGTTACAGGGTACTACTTCAATCTAGATATATTCCTGTTACAGGGTGCTAATTCAATCTAGATAATATTCCTGTTACAGGGTGCTACTTCAATCTATATAATAGTCCTGTTACAGGGTGCCACTTCAATCTAGATATATTCCTGTTACAGGGTGCTACTTCAATCCAGATATATTTCTGTTACAGGATGCTACTTCAATCTAGATAATATTCCAATTACAGGGTGCTACTTCAATCTATATAATATTCATTTTATATAGGGTGCTTCTTCAATCTAGAAATATTCCTTCTTAGCGGATAAAAAAGGAACTAGATAATCAATAGATCAATAAATCAATGTAAATTATCATTTTGAATACGAATTTGAGAATCTAATTGATTAAGTGGGAAAAAATTGAAGTAAAAACTAAATAAGTGGTTTAGAAATGCATTGAATAATCATAAAATTATAGTAAGAAAATTATAGAATAAATCTTACATTCATAACTCCAATTTTGTTTCCTTTTAGGTCTGTAATCTCAAGCTGTTCTTTCATCTCAACCATGTACGCTATGGGTTGAAGGGACACCTAGAAAAAGTTCTGTAAATATAAAAAATTCTAAAACTTCAGCAAATGTTTGTTCATTTCTAATTGTATGTAGATTATACAATGTACAAGGTACAGGAAACGCATCATTTCATGAGCAACAACAATTTTTTGGCAAGAAACAACTGCTGAATGGAATAATGGATGTAAATATAGGTGACAATTTCACGAAGATACGTGTTAGATTTTTGTCTGACCATTAGTGCATGAGAAATCCAAGCTTTTCCAGCAAAGAAAACATTATAGTATGGTTACTCTGAAAGCAGAGAATGTAGGAAACTGGCTTAATTCAATACTTTAGAAAACGACAATTTTTCTTTCATATTCGTACTCTCTTCAGATAAAATTTGAAAGAGAACTGTTAAATCCGACATTTCACTTTTTGAATAGACCAGCACTTTAAATTAAACGTGATTAGACCAGCACTTAAAATTAAACGCGAATAGACCATTACTTAAAGTTAAACGTGAATAGAACGGCACCTAAAGTTAAACGTGAATAGACCGGCACTGAAAATTAAACGTGAATAGACCGGCACTGAAAGTTAAACGTGAATAGAACGGCACCTAAAGTTAAACATGAATAGAACGGCACCTAAAGTTAAACATGAATAGAACGGCACCTAAAGTTAAACATGAATAGGCCGGCACTTAAAGTTAAACATGAATAGACCGGCACTTAAAGTTAAACGTGAATAGACCGGAACTTTAAGTTAACCGTGAATAGACCGGCACTTAAAGTTAAACGTGAATAGACCGGCACTTAAAATTAAACATGAATAGACCGGGACTTAAAGTTAAACGTGAATAGACCGGAACTTAAAGTTAAACGTGAATAGACCGGCACTTAAAGTTAAACGTGAATAGACCGGCACTTAAAGTTAAACATGAATAGACCGGCACTTAAAGTTAAACGTGAATAGACCGGAACTTAAAGTTAAACGTGAATAGACCGGCACTTAAAGTTAAACGTGAATAGACTGGCACTTAAAGGTAAACATGAATAGACCGGCACTTAAAGTTAATGAATAGACCGGCACTGAAAGTTAAACGTGAATAGACCGGCACTGAAAGTTAAACGCCTACATTCTACAGTTCCTTCCAAATTAATTAATATTCCTATCATGGTAATTAATATTTGTTGTTTCAGTATGAAAATGACAGCATTGTAAACATGCAAATATGAACTCATTCTGTAATTCCTCATAAACTGTAAGAATAAAAATAAACTTTTTATTCACCCTGTACTGCTCCAAAATTCCTTTGAACTGCTCCAATTTTTACTTGTACTACTCCAATATTCACCTTGTATTACTCCAATATTCACCATGTACTACTCCGATATTCACTATGTAGTACTCCAATATTCACCACGTGCTGTTCCAATATTTATCTGTACTGCTCCAATATTTACCTCTTCTGCTCCAATATTTACCTGTACTGCTCCAATATTTACCTGTACTGCTTAAATATTTACTTGTACTGCTCCAATCCAATATTTACCCAGTACTGCTCCAATATTCACCATGTACTACTCAAATATTCACCTGTACTACTCCAATATTCACCACGTACTGTTCCAATATTTACCTGTACTTCTCCAATATATTTACCTGTATTGCTCCAATATTTATCTGAACTGCTCCAATTTTTATTTGTACTGTTCCAATATTTACCTATTCTACTCTAATGCTTACCTCTACTGCTCCAATATTTACCTGTACTGCTCCAATAATTACCTGTGCTACTCCAATATTTACCTGTACTGCTATAATATTCACCTGTACTGCTCCAATTTTTACCTGTACTGCTCCAATATTTACATTTACTGCTCCAATATTTACCTGTACTGCTCCAATATTTACCTATACGGCTCCAATATTTACCTGTACTGTTTAGCGAACATGAGAAAAACGTCTTCCAGGAACTGAAATTTGAGGAACACTGGACTTCACATGAGAATTGATCTTGCTCNTATTTATCTGTAATGCTCCAATATTTACCTCTACTGCTCCGATATTTACTTGTACTGCTCCAATATTTACCTGTACTGCTCCAATATTTACCTGTTCTGCTCCAATATTTACCTATACTGCTACAATATTTACCTATACTGCTCCAATATTTACCTCTTCTGGTCCAATATTTACCTGTACTGCTCCAATATTTACTTGACCTGCTTCAATATTTACCTGTACTGCTCCAATATTTACCTGTACTGCTGCAATATTTTCTGTACTGCTCCAATATTTACCTGTACTGATCCAATATTTACCTGTACTTCTCCAATAATTACCTGTACTGCTCCAATATTTACCCGTGCTGCTCCAATATTACCTGTACTGCTCCAATATTTACCTCTACTGCTCCAATATTTACCTCTACTGCTCCAATATTTACCTGTACTGCTCCAATGTTCACATCTGAATTAAGATCCTCTTGAAATGGATCCTTGTCCTAAGAAAAATTTAAATGTTTTTCAATTTATTTATTTAGATTCTACAATTTATTTATTAATAACTATTATTGTTAAGTAAGACTCTCTGCTTGTCTGTTTGTCCGATCATAACACAGGAACCCCTTTGCCTCAAATTTGTTTGGCAAGATCATGGAAATGTTATTAGCTTGGTTTAAAAATTCGAACTTTAGTGGATCGGTTTGTATAGCGAAAATTTAGTTTTAAGTCAAAGCTGGGTTTCGAAACCATATGGCTAGATCTACAGGGTTGACATTTTATAGACGATTGTACGGAATTTATACTGTCTGTTTTTTTATATTTACTATTTCCTGCAACAGAAAACTGGTTTCTTTCTTTGCAAAATCATTAAATAAACCATTAAAAGATTATATGCAAGCCAGAAGGTTTAATTTAACCTAGGGACCGTCAATCGTCATATTGAACGAGTTTCATGTCGTCTTTGCAGTCTTTTGAGGGTAATCCTGTAGTTATTTATAAAGTAAAGTTTAAACAAACTGAAAATAAGAGCGAAGGAAGACGAATTACAACGTTTATTGTAAACATTTTAAATACTCTTTTTAAGAATGACACTGTTTTCATATTTTCTATTTTCTTGCCAGTTAATTATTTTACTTTTTCCATTTCAATCTAGTTTAATATTTTTCCTCATATATTCCTAATTTTATTGTTATATTTTGTAAATAATCTTTGTTTTGTTTTGGATTAACACCACTGAAAATTAACTGGTCTTATTAGGATCTTGAAGTTTCCACGATAAATGAAAGCCTATCAGTTAAGCCGTTCTTAAGTTTTACTGGATTTGCCGTACAAGAAGTTTGTGCAATTTGAATTTAGCCAAGTGTAGTTGGGTTTACTTCACAGAGGAATCCTCCGTATATTCTAATGTATTCATCAAATAGTGTATTTAAAGGGAGTGACCGGCTATGTAAGGTAGTTGAACTGAGTATGCAGTGTTGTGGAAAACTTCTTTCGGATTCATTTGAGACATATTAAACTTTTTAAAGATCTATAAATCCTGAGTTTGAGCGCAAATTCGACGTTCAAAACTCCTACTTTGGGGGTGGAATTTTCAGAATTAGTTTTTTTAAATTATTAAATATCGACAACGAAAAATAAAGTAAAAATTATACAGTAATCTAATTGGATGGTTAGGAACATATTTCTCAAAATAAATTTGTCAATAAATCAATGCTAAAATCGATTATTTCTTTTTCATTATTATATTGAATTTCTAATTTTCTTTGAATTTATTCCCAGATTTCTTCAAATTCTTCAAATGTCGTCTTTTCAATAATAATTCTAGAAAATCTGCGAAAATCTTTTTGAATAATAAGAAACCAGAATAATGAGATAATAGAAACTAATAATTGAACAAGATTACTTATTTTCGATGATAAGATTAATTTTTATTTTCTCAACATGTCTGTAGTTTATTGTAGAACTTTTTTACATTTTATGTCGTCATTATGTAATAATTTAAAAAAACTAATTCTGAAAACGCATCCACCCCCAAAGTAGGAGTTTTGAACATCGAATTTGCGCTCAAACTCGGGATTTACAGATCTTTAAAAAGTTTAATATGTCTCAAATGAATCCGAAAGAAGCTTTCCACAACACTGCATACTCAGTTCAACTACCTTACATAGCCGGTCACTCCCTTTAAGATTTGTATTTATGTGGATTTATTTGATGTGAATATATAAAAAAACAAGATAAAAGGTTGAAGGAAAATATTATTTTTCACCTCAGGCAAATCCCAGTCATCCTCTTCCTCATCATAATTGTTGTACATCTCCTTCATCAGGTACAACCTACATACAAGTACATAAAGATGTTAAAATGTACATCTCCTTCATTAAGTACAATCTACATAGAAGTACATAAATATTTTAAAATGTACATCTCCTTCATCAAGTACAACCTACAAGTACATAAAGACGTAAAAATGTACATATACTTCATCAAGTACAACCTACAAGTATATAAAGTTGTAAAATGTACAATTCCTTCATTAACCTACTATACTAAAAAAAAAAAAATCATACATAATTTCACGTGACGGAAACATGTAACAAATAAAAATTTTATTTCATTGCCACGCATTTTAGAAACATTTTTGCCACAAATTCTAGAAAAGGATTTAAAACCAGTAAGACCATAATTTATTTTTTTATCTTTTAATTAATTAGATTTAATAAATTTTTAGTCGTCTATCTGGCATTATAATAATCCTTCTGTGTAAAATTATTTTGTAGAATAAGACTAAAATTTAGGCAAAAGAATAAGGTTTAGGTTTAAATCTAGGTAGGTTTAGATTTAGGTTTAGGTTTTTGTTCAGATTTTGGTTCAGGTTTAGAACTAGGTTCAGGTTTAGGTCTAGGTTCAGATTTAGGTTCAGGTTTAGAACTAGGTTCAGGTTTAGGTCTAGGTTCAAGTTTAGGTTTAGGATTAAGTTTGGGTTACGGTCAAGTTAAGGATTATTTGGTTCAGGTTTAGAACTAGGTTCAGGTTTAGGTCTAGGTTCAGATTTAGGTTCAGGTTTAGAACTAGGTTCAGGTTTAGGTCTAGGTTCAAGTTTAGGTTTAGGATTAAGTTTGGGTTACGGTCAAGTTAAGGATTATTTCTAGGTTTAGCTAATATTAGGTTTGCTTCACATTCAGGTTTAGGTACGTTTATATTTAGGTTTAGGTATTGGTTTAGGTTTAGGTTTAGGTATAGGTTTAGGTTTAGGTATAGGTTTAAGTTTTGGTTTAATTCTTATCTAGATTTAGGTTTAAGCATGGGTTTAAAATTAGATCTACAAACTTTTAGGTTTATGATCAGCTCTGGTAGCTTTATTTAGGTTTATGATCAGCTCTAGTAGCTTTATTTAGGTTTATGATCAGCTTTGGTAGCTTTATTTAGGTTTATGATCAGCTCTAGTAGCTTTATTTAGGTTTATGATCAGCTCTAGTAGCTTTATTTAGGTTTTTGATCAGCTCTAGTAGCTTTATTTAGGTTTATGATTAGCTCTAGTAGCTTTATTTAGGTTTATGATCAGCTCTGGTAGCTTTATTTAGGTTAATGATCAGCTCTGGTAGCTTTATTTAGGTTTATGATCAGCTCTGGTAGCTTTATTTAGGTTTATGATCAGCTCTGGTAGCTTTATTTAGGTTAATGTTTAGGTCTAGTTTAAGTTAAGGTACAGATTTATGTCCCGATTATAAGTTCAGATTCAGATTTAGTTTAAAGTTTAGGTGTGTATATAGGTTTGGTTTTAAGTTTATATTTCAGATTCAGGTCTAGTTTTAAATTTACGTTTAGATTTAGGTTAAGTCTTAAGTTTATGTTTGAATTCAGGTTTAGTTTTGATTTTAGGTTCAGATTCATATTAAATCTATATTTTATGTTCAGATTCAGGTTTAATTCTGATTTAGGTTCAGATTCATATTAAATTTAGATTTTAGGTTCAGATTCAGGTTTAATTCTGATTTAGGTTCATATTCATATGAAATTTATATTTTAGGTTCAGATTCAGGTTTAATTCTGATTTAGGTTCAGATTCATATGAAATTTAGATTTTAGGTTCAGATTCAGGTTTAATTCTGATTTATGTTCAGATTCATATTAAATTTAGTTTTTAGGTTCAGATTCAGGTTTAATTCTGATTTAGGTTCAGGTTCATATTAAATTTAGATTTTAGGTTCAGATTCAGGTTTAATTCTGATTTTAGGTATAGACCCATATTAAATTTAGATTTTAGGTTCAGATTCAGGTTTATTTCTGATTTTAGGTTCAAATCCATATTAAATTTAGATTTTTGGTTCAGATTCAGGTTTGATTCTGATTTTAGGTTCAGATCCATATTAGATTTAGATTTTAGGTTCAGATTCAGGTGTAATTCTGATTTTAGGTTTAGATTCATATTAGATTTAGATTTTAGGTTCAGATTCAGGTTTAATTCTGATTTTAGGTTCAGATTCATATTAAACTTAGATTTTAGGTTTAGATTCAGGTTTAATTTTGATTTTAAGGTTCATTTCCAGGTTGAGTTTGAATTTCAGGTTCAGATTCAGGTTCAGTGTCAAGTCACCTGTTCAAAAACTTTTCCTTTGGCCAGATAAACTCGGTTCCATTTTCAAGATTTTTCATCTTGACGCAAACCTAAATAAAACTTATGCATTTTTGTCTAAAAAATCAAGACACGCATTGTCGATGAAAATAGATTATGGATTAAAGTCCACAGGTAATCTTTATTTACTTATTAGTTTGATCTAACTTTAATACAACTACAATTAAAGCAAATTGATTAAATCTGAAAAAATTATAATGCTTTAGTACGACATTATTTTTTTGTATTTGCTATTTAGCTTTCAAAACCTTCAGAAGCATTTGAGATGTTTACATTTGAAATTTTATCATGTTTTAAAAGTTTTAAAATGTGTGCTTTGGTTTCATGTCGGATAAAGCCGAAACTAAATTTTTAAATCGTTTTGTTCTTTAGGAACAAAATTTAGAAGATTAATAATTGATAAAAACACTCAGCTTTTTGTGAGATAAATTGAATACCAAAAAGTCTTTAAAGTTAAGAAAAAATGCCAGGATCTCATAAACTGTTTTTTTCAACTTTCTAATGTTTCAGAAAAGTGAAGTTTGTTAAATTTCATTTAAAGTAAACTAATAATTTTTGTCAGGTGAGTATTCTGGTGAATATTCTCCCCCCCCCCCTGAAAAAACCCCTGTTGAGAAATTTTCTGCCTACGCCCCTGGTTTTGTGCTTTAAATTTGATCGAATTTATTTAAACATGCGTCAAGAAAAACAAAGTTTCATCTTCAATTTCTCCATAAAGAACATAAAGTTTTTCGAAAACGAAAAGTTTTCTTTCCATAAAAAAAGAAATTATAAAGAGGAAAAATAAAAAAGAAAAAAGAAAAAAAACACAAATCCTACTTCCGGTTGCTTGGACTCCATATCTGTAAATCCCTGCAAAAAGAAAATAGCATAAAATATTAAAAATTGAAACAATGAATAAGAAAAGAAAAGTGAATGATAATTGCAAAATTTTAAATGAATATTTAAATAGCTACTAATTGACAACCTTTGCGAATAATTGCGAAGAATACAGTGAGAAGCATTAAATATAATACACTGCCGTTTATTTTTGAAAATATTCTCACATTTCTGAATTTTAATTTTTTTTAAGTTTTAAATTTTCAGAAATATTATTAGAAATATCATAAAAGCTAATTATAATATTTTGGTCCTGATTTAATTTCATTAAAAAAATTCGGCAGAAAACGGTTTCCATCGATTCGTGAAAACCATATTTCCTTTCTAGTGGCTTAGCTTAATTCTAGGATGTATCATAGTTCAGATTTATAATTTAATCAAGCATAGCCAAGTTTCGGAATCAGTCCCTTTAAGCTATATTGTTGTATACCTCCGCTTTGGTTCCCCTCATCTGTCCGAGCATTTGAGGAGAAATCAGGATTATCTCAAACTTGACTCTTTTATCCAACTCTTCACTAGACAAACAATATTATATATCTATATTCATATTTAAAGTTGTAATCTCTGTTTGTCTCTTTGTTTGTATGTGTCCGATCATAACTCAGGAACCCCTTGATCGATTTGTCTAAAATTTAGATTGGGGAACTCAGGAGAACCACGGAAATGTTCTTTGCTTGGTTTTGAAATTTTAAGTTGAGTGAATACACAATTAGGTTTTGAAAGTTGTGCTAATATTTTTGCATATTTGAATTTGATGGGTAAGGGGCTTTTCAAAAATGTACCATTTGTCATATTTTGCGAAATTTTAAATTTTCACGTTTTTTCCAAAATAATTAAATTAGTCTTTGAGCACTGATATAATAAAACAGAGACCATGACACAGAAATGTGCAAGATAAAGTGCACAATAGTCCCATAAGAAAATAGAATTTTAAAAGGAGAAAAGGTTTAAATGACAACAATTGAGATTGATGTTCAAGTATGATGATATTGATATGTCTTGTCAAACAAAAATTAAATAAATAAATTCAAAAAATTAATTTGCTTTAAAATTAATTATAACCTGATAGAATTTGCCTCTTCAACAGCTGGCATTGTATCAATCAAATCCTCCTAAACAGCAAACATTATTATAGATTTAATTTAAAATTTCGTAGTAAAAAATATCTTTTTTAGTGAATTTAGAGTGTAATTCATGCAGCTGCAAGTCAGATTAACAACGGTATGCCTAAAAAGCTTTAATTAACCATGAATGATTGAAATATCCCTGGCTTTCTCTTTCAAAATTGATTATAATTTTCAGTCGTGGTTATCACCGTTTACTCTCGACTCGGCATTAATAGTCTTATTTACCTGAAGAAGGCTCATAATCCCATCTCCTGCCGAATCCACCTTCTCCCCCGCCTCGGCGATAATAGTCTATTTAGCTGCAAAAGGGAAATGTCCCTGCCTCCCGCTGAATCTACCTTCCCCACCCGCCTCGGCGGTAATTTTATATTTACCTGAAGAAGGGCCATATCCCCGCCTCCCGCTGAATCCACCTTTTCCTCCACCTCGGCGTAAATAGTCTATTTACCTGAAGAAGGGCCATATCCCCGCCTCCCGCTGAATCCACCCTTTTCCCTACCTGGGCAGTAATATTCTTTTTACCTGAAGAAGGGCCATATCCCCGCCACCAGCTGAATCCACTTTCACCCCTGCCTTGGCAGCAATCTCCTCCTGGGCGTACTCATACGTGATAGGAGGATACGTCTTGGAGTCTACAATATATACATATATTTATGGGTGTTGGGCATTTTCCCAAGTGACAATTTCCCAAGTGGCAACTTCCCAAATGTGCAAAGCCTAAGGTAAGGTTAGGCCTTCTGAGGCGCCACAGGCTGCAATAGGGACCTAGCACTGTGGCTAGGATGGGCTAGGGGACCGAGCGCTACGGCTATAACAGACTATAGTACGACAATATCCTCACTTTGTACGCTTATGTATAGGACTATATACAACTTTATTCTGACTAATCTATATACGACTATATTCAGACTATATACGACCATATTAAGACTATATACGACTATATTCAGACTAAATACGACTATATATACAACTAAATATGACTATATTCAGACGAAATACGACTATATTCTGACTATATAGACTATATTAAGACTGTATACGACTATATTAAGACTATATACGACTATATTTAGACTAAATACGACTATATTAAGACTATATACGACTATATTCAGACTATATACGACTATATGTATGACTATATTCAGACTGTATACGACTATATTCAGACTATATATGATTATATACGACTATATATACGACTATATTCAGACTATATATGACTATATTGAGACTATATACAACTATATAGGACTATATTCAGACTATATTGAGACTATATACGACTATATAGGACTATACGTACAACTATAGTTAGACTATATACGCCAAATATGACTATGTAATGTTCACGTCTATTTATGTGGGAACGTCTTCTTAAAGTTATATTTTTTCAAATTATGAAAATATCATATTTTATACTTTTTGGTTCTAATATTCACCTTTATCCTTCTGTTTGGGATTCTGGAAAACCCAAAGCTGCGTAGAGCCAAATATAAGACGGTCATTGTGATGTAGTTCTACCTACAATCATCAATATATATATTTACTTTGCTTGTATTGGTGTTTGTTTGTATCCAATAAACGTCAAAACGGATGAACTGATTGGGCCCAAATTATGTGTGGGTCCTCACAAGACCCCATGAAAGGTTTATAAATGAATAACATTTAAAAAATGCTGAAAATTCGTGAATTATTTTGTTTGTTTTTGTTTTTAAAAATCATCAATGTAATAAAACTATAGATAGTTTAACTGAAAATCATAGATGTTGTAAAAAGAAATAGTTGAACCTACAATTATCGATATTATAAAACTTGTTAGTTCAATTAAATATCATCGATGTTATAAAACTAGATAGTTTAACTGAAAATCGTACATGTTGTGAAAATAAATAGAATTGAGCCTACAATTCATCAATGTTATAAACCTATATAGTTCAACTAAAGTGATCAATGTTTTAAACCTAGATAGTTCAACTAATAATCATCAATGATATAAAACTAAATAGTTAACTAAAAATCATCGATGTCATAAACCTAGATAGTTAAACAAAAAATCATCGATGTTATAGAACTAAATAGTTGAACTAAAAATCATCGATGTTATAAAACTAAATAGTTGAGCTAAAAATCATCGATGTTATAAAACTATATAGTACAGCTAAAAATCATCGATGTTAAAAAATTAGATAGTTCAACTAAAAATCAGCGATGTTATAAAACTAGAAAGTTCAACTAAAAATCATCAGTGTTACAAAACTAGATTGTTCAACTAAAAATCATTGATGTGATAAAACTAGATAGTTTAACTAAAAATCATTGATGTGATAAAATTAGATAGTTCAACTAAAAATCATCAATGTTTAAGAATTAAGTTAATTTACCTCTGAGGTAATGATATCTCCGTTGACGAGTAATCTACAATCCTTCTCCGAGGGTGTGATGAAAACTTGATGAGATTTCTTATCCTGCTTTACTATTGCATGCGTCTCATGAACACTGAAAATAGAAACCAAATTTCAAAACTTTTGGAATTCAAAGAATATTATTTGAGTATTTTTTTTATTTATAAAAATGAACTATTTAGGAATGATTACCATCATTTTTTGGGGGGTTCCACTAAGAATCAGAACGGCGGAACCGAATCGGCATAATTTTTAAAGAACTTGACACGATCCCAGAGAAGGTTTTTAGTTGATGAGAATGTAAAATGGTCCTTTTATAGTTTTACGAATTTTTAACAAAAAACATGAATATCAGCAAAAAAATTTATTTTCTTTGAAAAGTACGAAAAAAGACTCATAGATATTTCCAGAAAAAGTGACATAAAGCGCTCTGAATCGAAGGATAGTGTTTCAAAAAAAAAGATAATTACCCTGGTCCAACCATACAGATATCAGACTCCTTTCCTTTCTGATTTCCTATTTCCGTTTCCGTTTTCTGTGTACAGTTACATTCAGTTAACAACGGGATTCAATTTAGTGGTTTATATGTAAAAGTGATTTGCGGGTGTACGATGTAATGAGACAATGAAACAAATTGCAGGCATATTAGAGACGCTAACTCCTTGCTTAAAGCATGCAATTGTGAAACCTGGGAACTTTAGAATTGGATACCTTTAATCCTGATCCCTTAATCTGCATATTCTTAATCCTGATCCCTTAATCTGAATACCTTTAATCCTGATCCCTTAATCTGCATATTCTTAATCCTGATCACTTAATCTGAATATCCTTAATCCTGATCCCTTAATCTGAATATCTTTAATCCTGATCCCTTAATCTGCATATTCTTAATCCTGATCACTTAATCTGAATATCCTTAATCCTGATCCCTTAATCTGAATATCCTTAATCCTGATCCCTTAATCTGAATACCTTTAATCCTGATCCCTTAATCTGCATATTCTTAATCCTGATCACTTAATCTGAATATACTTAATCCTGATCCCTTAATCTGAATATCTACTTGGAAAATTTTAATTTTCTTTTTAATTCGGTCTTGTTGGATATCACATTTCCTACTTCATGTAATAAAGATACGTTTGATTACAAATACGATACGATGCTAAATCGATAGGACTAATAAACGATTGAAATAAAGTCAGTTGTTCATAAGCCGGCTTTGAGAGCAATACAACAAATATAAATTTAATCATGTTAATATAAACTTGTTTAAAAAACATATTTAACACATTTGAGGACTAAAGTCCCTGTAACTTTAGTTTTAATATACATTAATCCAAATCTTACGTGCGTTAGTCCAAATGAATTTAAAACCGGTTTTTCAAAAGTTAAAGAGCGCATCTATAATCTCTAGAAATTAATCTAGAGACTAAATTAGTCTGAAGATTATCAAATAGAGAGGATTAAGGTTTGATCTCGATATCCATCATTCTAAACTTTTGAGCTGAGTACTATTGTATAATGAATGTTCCTGAATGATATGAACAAGTCTGCCGCTAAGCTGAGGATCAAAGTTAAGATTAAAGAAATGAGGTTTACTCTTCTTCTCCTCCAGAACCTTCTGCAGGGCAGAATCCTAAACATAAATATAATATTCAACAAATATTTTTACCTTTTATTTTGTAAATCTTGTGTTGGTGTTAATTTTTAATACAATAAACGAATGGTTGAATTTACATTTTTTAATTAATTAAATGTGATCTTTTCAATGATTCAGTGTTAAATTAAAAAAAATTACAGTGAATATTTCATTTTTTAAACATAATTTATTAATCTAGCAATGTTTTTAGAAGGTTTAAAATTATGAAAAATATCTTTTAGATAGAATATCTAAATCTTGGGGAAATTCACATGTTTGGAGAAAAAATGCGTTTTTTAACATCTTCACATTGTCACATAAAAGAGAAAGTCACTTTTTGATTAAATTTGGGTATAAATTTGTCGGTTAAGCTTGAAAAAATGTTCCGATAATATTTTAGGCAATAATTCCTCCACTTAATATATCTTAGTAGTTTGGCTAATGGCCAATTATTGAATTATTTTAAAACCTTTTCTGAATCCTTCTCCTTCTGCTGAGAAACCTTCTCCTCAGTAGTTTTCTTCATATCGTTTGCTTCCTTCTCATTCGCCTAAACATCAGATAATTTAGATTTGGCAAATTTGTGCTTTTTGCCAATTCATTAGCACTGTACATCCTAATATTGCTTTTCAATATCAAGTTTATTTGTTTTTTAGTTTGTTTGAGTTTAATCTGGTTTCAGTTTATTTTTGCCTTCATCACCGCCAACCGTTACTTACATCATATTCGCCTTCATCTTCGCCAACCATTCCTTACCTTCATATTCGCCTTCATCTCCGCCAACCATTCCTTACCTTCATATTCGCCTTCATCTCCGCCAACCATTCCTTACCTTCATATTCGCCTTCATCTCCGCCAACCTTTGATTACCTTCATATTCGCCTTCATCTCCGCCAACCATTCCTTACCTTCATATTCGCCTTCATCTCCGCCAACCTTTGATTACCTTCATATTCGCCTTCATCTCCGCCAACCATTCCTTCTTCAGTGCTTCAAGCTCAGCCTTAGACATTGTCTCTTTGCCAGCCATACTCTTAAGATCCTAGATATAAATATGGATATAACACAATGGGCCATATCATTGAGATCCTAGATATAAATATGGATAAAACACAATCAACCATATCATTGAGATCATAGATACTAATATGGATTTAACACAATCAGCCATATTTTTAAGATGAAATGTAGATATGGATATAGCACAATCAGCCATATCCTTGAGATCCTAGATATAAGTATGGATATAACACAATCAGCGATATCCTTCAATCGTAAATATAAATATGGATAAAGCACAATCAGCCATATCCTTGAAATCCTAGATATAAATATGGATATAAAACTATCAGCCACATTCTTCAGATCCTAGATATTAATATGGATATAACACAACCAGCCATATTCTTTAGATCAGAACTGGTTAAATCATTATAATTATAATCTGATTGTAATCGTCATTATCATTATAATCATCAACTTGTTAAAGTATCCTCTTTATCATTAACTTCATTAAATAATTAGATTATCATAATTATCATTATAATCATCAACTTGTTAAAGTGTCCTCTTTATCATTAACTTCATTAAATAATTAGAGTATCATCATTATCATTATTTTCATCAACTTGTAAAAGTATCATCTTTATCATTAACTTCATCAAATAATTAGAGTATCATCATTATCATTGTAATCATTAACTTGTTAAAGTATCATTTTTATCATTAACTTCATTAAATAATTAGATTATCATCATTATAATTATTATCAACAACTTGTAAAAGTATCATCTTTATCATTAACTTCATAAACTATTTCAATGAACATTAGAAATAGCAATTGTACAGTGTAAATTGACCAATTGACGCTTTAGAATTGCTATAATGTCGTCTTTCTTTTCCATTGTTTTCTGGTTATTACCGTATAAAAAACAGACAATTTCGTGTTTCAGAAAAAATTAAGAATTTATCAAAATTAAGCATAAAAGCGATTAGAATAACGTTGCAATAGTTCAATGATCATTGTGAATGAGGGTCACTTTGAGATTAAAGCAATAACAATTTACCGTTCCAACACTTGATTCTGTCTTTACCTTTAGTTCTCTAATAAGAGCTTCAGTTGGATCCTCGTTTACTATTGCTTTCGTCTTAATCTGTTTTGCTCGATCAGCTAAACATTAATAGATTTTACTACTGTTAAACCCTAAATAAGCCATGCATCGAAAGAATTTATCAAATGTCGTCTTGACAATTTTTCAAAGGGTTTTATGCTATTTTACGTAAATTACAGTATTTGCGAAAATAAATAAATAGTCATCAATATGCGGGAACAGTTTTAAAGAGTACCATACAATCATGTAATTAAATATCTGCAAAATTCCATTATCTGAAAGTAAAGAATGCGACATTTGATGAATTGTTAACTGTATGACGAGGTACAAGATCTAGATTCTCTAGATACTGTGGTGACCAGAAAACTAGGGAATGGTCGTCATTTTTCTCTGGCTTTTAATCAAGAAAAAGATTTTGTAAGTTTTTAAACTAATATAGCGCTACTTTTACACTTCGGTCCATAACTCTTAATCAAAGCAAATTGTGACTTTTGATCCCAATTTAACCTGTCAGACTTAAACGTTTCGCTTGTTCCTTTTTAAATTTTTAATGGTGAATGCGCTAAATAAACATTTTTAAAATAACAACTCTGCAAGTTTAAATATTGTTGAATTAAAGACAGAAACGCAATTATATCAAGGGAATTGAGTTTTTGCCACAAACTCTGATTTTCTAATTTCAATATCCTTGCAATCCAATGTCGTTGAACCTTAGATATTTCAAACTATGAATTCTGTTAGATCAATTAATGTTAGTTTACGTCATCAGGTTGCAAAGATATAGGGATTTCAAAAATTAAAATTGTGGCAAAGACTCAATGCTTGTAAGAATCCGAACGATTTTTGTCTTGGTATGTAAAAAATAATTCCAGGCACATTTTCAGAAATAAACAAATCACAAATTACAAAATCTCTTTATGTCACTTTCATTATAATAAAGATTATGAATTGAATGAATCCACTGTTTCTGTTTACCACCGTATTACGATGTTACCGTATCTTAGTGTTGACAAGCTTTCATCATAGTTAATATCAGCGGGGCTGATTGCAGCAATCTAAATAGATAATTTAAATAATAAAATATGAATGAAAAAAATAGTTTTAAATGTCATCTGCCAAATATTTGTTATAAAATTACCATCAGAGTTTTACTGTTTCCTCCAAGTGCATTCTGAAGAAGCTTGGTGAGGGTAGAATCTCTATATGGTACTCGAACCTGATCATACAAATAGGATCAAGGTTAGATAATAACAGACAATCAAGGATCACGAATGATCAAGGATCACAGAGGATCTAGGATCACATAGGATCTAGGATCACAGAGGATCAATGATCACAGAAAATCAAAAATAACAGAGGATCAATAATCATATATTATCAGGCGATCACAGAGGATCAAAGATCACATATATTTATGGATCCTAGAGGATCAATAATCACAGAGGATCTAGGATTACAGAAGATCAACAAATGACAAGGTTTAAACAGCATGGATACACATAAACATGAAAACAAAGAGATGCTGTTTTATTACTGGTAAGCTTGAAAAAAGCTTGTTACAAATAAAAAATAAAGTAAAAAGTCGTATTCATTGTATTGATATATAAGCCAACCACTGTTCTTTAACTAACATCTTACATTTGTCCTCCTTCATTTTAGATCTTACATTTTTCTGCACTTTTAAAACTTACTTTTTTACCACTTTTTTTAAGACTTACATTTTTCCCCTCTGACTGAGAGGCCAGGGCATGAATAACATTTCCCAGCATACTGAGTGATTGATTGATTGCTGCTCCTTCCTTCAATCGATCGCCAGCAGCTCCAGTACTCTCCACACGTTCACTGTAATATAAATACAGATATTTAACAGAGATTAAGAATACTTTAGACCTAATTTAATCCATTTCCCTCCCCCCCCCCCCCCCCCCC